CAGAAAGGCCCCTGGTCGGCGGGGGCTCGAACCCAGAACCTTCTTGCCCCGAGACTAACCACTGCCCCACCATGCTGCCCACATTATCATTGAATTTCTAACTTTGAACTGAATCATATACACTATACTGTGCATCGAATCGTATCGAAAAAAGTATCATCCCATCCCTATCATTTATGCATTTATAACAGACATCATGTGTTAAAACAGCAAAATCAAATGCTTGCATTGACCCAACAACACAAACTGGTGCAAAAGCTTTCATCAAGCAATGTAACATAAACCAAAATCAGCTTATAAAAAGCATCAGATGTTTGTGTTTAGATTTATTTAGTCCTGAGACGGTGTAAGCATATACAGTATGTTTGTGTGTGTCATGTCAGCGTGTTTCAGACTTTGTGTGTATGTTGACCAGACTGACAACACTACTGTACCTTTAAAACACCACAGCTCACAGATCAGACTGAACCACTTCAGGGAATATTGGAAAAGAGAGGAATTCTTGAGGAAAAAGCAACTCGTCGATCTATTTGGCTGGCACACGCCACATAATATAAAATCTGAACTCAACATATCACTGCCTCTTACAACAACAGTAAAAGCACACGTAAGCTCTAAAAACAAAAGAAAGAGCAAAGAATTTATTTTTCTTCATACCTCAACATCTGTTTTAGGGAACAGAGGTCTGTGTAGTGAAGGTCTGATCTGACCTAGAAAGAAATGGCACCACACACCCAAAGGTGGAAAAAAAAAGGCAAACCACAGTCAGCGAGCAAAGAAATGTGTACTCACTTCCTCCCGCTGTACGTAAACATGACTTTACTTCCTTCTTATTTCCTGAATTTATCCGTACCCTTCGTAAAAACACGAAAGTGCAAACGCCATTCCAAGTATGCGTCATATACAGTCGACACACTGTATACATGCCTCATTTACAGTGTATACTGAGTTGAATGATCTCTGTCTTCACTCTGATTTTTACACTCCCGCATGTTGTTTTTGACATAAAGCTACGTGACAGCACAGGTCAAGTCAAAGTGCACAAGGCCAAAAAAAAGAAATGCACAAAATGGAGGAAAAAACAAAAGGCAGGATATAAGCAACCTGTCATTGTGGATGTAAAACCATCTACCCTGCATCCTCACCCCCTCCCACCAAATCTCTGATGCTGATGCTGCCCACCCCGGCTGGTGGTGCCCAGAGGGGCCGACCCGTCACACGGTGAGAGAAATGAAGCTGTTGTATCTCTGGATGTTCCTTTTAAGGATTTCTGAGCACGGCCCCAGCACGCGCTCGAAGCGGGGCCTGTCCAGCTTCACACACTTGAGCGGACCACGGGCGACTACAGTGGCTGCCCTGGGCCGGTTCAACAGCAGGGCGATTTCACCTGGATGAAGAAGAAGAGGACAGTCAGCTGGGATGCCATCAAATGTGTTCCAATCTAAACAATTAGTCAAACAAAAAAAACACGTCACCTTGGACTGTATCTGAGACAGTTTTCACTATATCCTGACATTTTGACACAAACCACAGTTCACCTATAATCAAGAACATTCTAGAATTGCTGATTCAACCTTTTTTAGTGACAACAGATTAAAAATCTGTGGAGGGAAATGATTAACCAGCTTATCTTCCTCAGCTCTGTAACATCTCAGAATTGATATATTTGTGTTTCTTCTTGCACAAGTAATAAAAAATAAAAACTAAAATATTAGGTATTATATAACCTAGTCTCTGTTTTGACCAATAGCTTTTCATTTTATGTGCTATTTGGGAAATAAAATGTCTTCAGAGCCACTTACCAAAGTAGTCAGAGGGTCCGAGGCGTCCGACTTCCACATACTCCTCATTGTCAGACCTGCGCTGCAGAACAGAGGCTATTCCCTGCAGATAGAAAAGAAGGAGTGTTAGAGGAAAGAAATAATAGACAAGAGAAAGAACAAGATGAGAAGGACAAAAATAAGAGGAGGAGGGGGTGTTGGTAGGAAAAACTGAGTTAAAGGAGGTGGTATGGAGGATTAAAATGAGAAATTCCTTTGCTTCATAAGAACACAGGTGCACAGGATTTAGCCCACTTTCCTGTGGCACCTGTTTCGTGGGATGCATATGAGCAGAAACCCACAAGACAACACATTCAGATATTCCAATGAGGTACGTGACACAAAATGTGATTAGTTCTGCTTTATTCCCTCAAGAGTGTAATAAATACAAACATCTAAGCTGAACTGACCTGCAGTGTCTCCATCACATAATCCCATTTATCAACATTCACCCCCGCCAAAAAGGAAAGAGCTGTACTGTCCAAGACTGAGGGAGCTCCACAACAGCGCCCCTGACTGACTCCAAACACATTCATGGATACACAAACACACTCTTCCCACTGCTCTCGTTAATTCACATGGTACATTGTACATCTGCATATTCACTCAGCCCAAAAACAATAACAAAGTACACAAAGAGACAGATGGAGTGAAATGCAAACTCTTGCAAAAGTACACACACACAGTGAGAAAATCAACAGCTGATGTCTGCTGGACAGACTGCGTTCTGTGACTAACCATGCTATGCATATTACCATCACACTGTTGTGCGTGCATGTGTGTGTGTGTGTGTGTGTGTGTGACTAATCTAAAAAGTAAAGGGAGGAAATTTGATTTCCATCTACTCTGCCCAGGAGATGATAGCAGTTCATGCAGTTGTATCTCGCAGCTGTTGATCAGCTCTGTGTGTGAATGAGCGAATGTTTGAATATTTATCTTTGCATATGAGATAAAACTAAGAATTTAAAGTTGTACTTGAGGTCCTACTGTATATGCCTACACTAATGTGTAACTGCCACACACTTGACAACTCATTTCTCAACATTTTGTGTGATAGAGCATACGTTTAGCTTGCATATCTTTAGACAGAGATAGAATATGTGTTTGCAGTGTCAATGACTAGACACTCGAGTTAAGCTATAATTGGTAGCAAGTAAAAAAAAAAAAAAAAAAAATGAGTAAGGAAATTTCCCAGCTTGTCTCGGACCATGTCCTAAAACAGACTTGACAGTTCCAGCACTCTTTTTCTGTCTTTAATCCTTGTCTGCTCACTCTGCTCCTTGTGCTGACCAGGCCAACAGTGCTAAATATGAACAAAACGACCTGGCAACTCCAAAACTGCCAGAAACTCACAGAAGGCATACAAAGGTGAAGCTGTATTTCAGTGAAAGAGATGTGTGTGACTGAGTGAGTTTGTGCTCACGGAGGGGATACTGTTCAAATTATGTGTGAGCGTCACTTCCAAGGAGGCCAAACTGTGCCATGCTGCCAAGACCTCCACATACGCAACACAGCAGGATGAGTTTAGCACATGAAAACAGAGCAGTGATACTGCAGCTAATCATAGCTGACAGTGATGTTAAAGAGTGCAGGGCTTACTGACATGTTTGCTTACTAATTTTTAGTCACTGGCTGACAGTTGCTTCCCCACAAACTATGATGTGCTGCACAATGTTCTGCACAAGAAACATGACATGATTATATACGATAAACAGCAAGACTGGTGTTCTGTTCATGGATGATGACAGAAATAAAGATGTAGTAGAGTTTAATCTAATCTCTCTTGAACAAAATCTATTGAAAACAACACACGAGTCGGTGTCTGATGGTCTGAAAACTTTACTACTGAAAATGTTTCATCTGGGCGGTTGTTTCAAAACGGCTTGAGAGCCAAAACCTTGACTATTAAAAGTATGTCTTTATTTTTTCTATTTTAAAACCTCGTCCATCCTGGTTCTAATATGTGAATATGTTGTTTAAAAGAGGCTAAAGAGAGATGTGAATGGGAGGAGAACGAGGGGGTGAGCCTCCTGAGTTTATGAGCAGTCGATTCCTCTCCTTTCCATTCATGTCTAAACAAAGAAAGTGAGACAGCGCAGCACCATCAAGTACAGTAGTTCATTTGTGAACAAGCAACATCCAGTGTGGTCCAGATAACCATCTCACACTGCACCACTCCAGTGGCAGTGCTCTACTTCACAGGTATTTCTTTTATAAACATCTGAGATCCTCCTCACCATGCTACCTGACACATTGTGCAATAAAGGAGAACAGGCGTAGAGAGAGGAACACCAACAGGAAACATGAATGAATGAATGCAAAAACAGAGAAAGAATTGTGAGCCAACATAAACAGTAGAAACAAATCTGTCTTCACACTTAATGACGAACCACTATCAATACTGTATCACTGGTCGTGGTCTTAAACCAGAATGCATATTTGCACCCAATCAAACCTAAACATGTGGAACAGACTGAGTCGGCTCATGGCAATATGTTGAAGTGTAGCATCTCGCATGGAGGAAGTAACAACTGTTAGATCAGCAACAGGCACAGAGAGAGAGAGGTGCAAGCAGAGATGGAGAAAGAAATGTGATATCCCATGTATCCTGAGTTCACAAGGCCACCCAGCATCAGCAGTGTCTGCACCTTCTCACTGAAATACTAACACACATATGCACACACATCACTTAGGCTACTGGACGTAGTGGCAGACAGCCAGCTCTGCTCACATGACTACTGTGAGGACTGACTCAAAACATGGTTTTACCCGTTAAGCTTTACCTTTGTTTTTTCACTGTGTTTGCACTCAGTCAAAAATAACTTCATTCATTAGCTGCACTGATCTTCAGTCTATAATGTTAAGCCCCATTAGCTTCATTGCATTTCAGTGCAGGTTACAGTGAAAGGTGATATACTGCACTGTCGACAGAGGACTCCTCTTCTGGGCGACCCACCGGGACCATTTAGATCCCCTCAGTGTGATTACTTGTGTGTGAGGTCAACAAATATGAGGTAAGTTGTTGTTTAGATTAATGACTGGAGGAGATGAGAGTGAATGCATTAGCAGAGAGGATGGCACCAGGAGGAACAACCCTCACCTGATTTAACAGAATGTTCATCCAGAGGCTAACGGGCAGAGAGGCCATCTGGAGTCACATAACTTGAACTTTAGTGAAACCTAAATCTGACTGACTTGACAAAATAAAAACATACTTTTAACTCAACTCCAGTTTTACCACCAAAACTCGACTCCTGTTGGATTTTAGCCTTCTGACATAGAATGACTTAAAGATTGAAAATAAAATGAAGAAGGTTAAAAATATATAAAAAAAAGACATGTAACTTTGAATCTGTGTGACAGCAACATGGAGAGAACAGTGAGTTTAGTGTGCTCACTGTTAAGTTGGGACTTTTGTTTGCCCTTTTTGCTCACACAGTGTTTGTAAAGAGCTTGTTAAATTTATTCATGGATGTAGGTGGCATCGATATGCTGACAACATAAGGGAAAAAACAGTTGGCCAGACTGTTATTAGTGACTGAATCATGCACAAGTGTTATGGAAATGTTACTTGGCAACAGATGGTAAGATTAATAAGTTGGTGATTAGCATTATTATTTACTGTTTTTACATGAAAGTGACTGGGCTTTACTCCAGACTGGCAAAGCGATGACTTTGTCCCATCTCCACTAACAAGTTTACTTTACAGCTGAAAACGGAACAAAAATCTTGGAGCAGCACATCCTACGCACTTTTTCCTTTTCAACATCGAGTTTCAAAACTGTCACTGTTGTCTGCCTCTCCCATGTTCAACAAATTTCTTAATCCCTTCCTCTATGTCATTTCAGGGCACAAAATACAGGCTGCTGGGCTTTGAGTGTATGGTCCCGAGGGAGACAGAGCATGTTGGGTGGGAGGAAAAAGCAGGAGGAGCTGATGCGAAGGAAGGTGAAGCAAAGTCTTCACGGCCCCAGGGTTCTGTATAGGCTTGTTTGTACAGTGTGAGAAAAAATGTAAACATGTTCATTAGGGCCCCATTCTTCTCAACAGGAAAAGAAAGTGATGCCTCTGTTCCTCTCCTTGGTATATCCTCCCCGTTAGGAATCACAAGAGAAGATTGCAAGGGCCGGAAGATGCGGTGAGGCTGATCTTGCAACAAAACTCACAGAAAATCCTTCTCACCCTGTTTATACTTGTGGTCCTTTTTCAATCAGCCTCCTATCTACACATATGATCCTGCCTGCCCACTTTGACTCATCCCTCTCTCTCATCTCTCTCCCGCGAGGCGCTGTCTCCTAACCCCGTGTGAAAGTCAGCAACACACATTCCACTACAGTCCACCCTGCTCTGGGAAAGTCAGGCGCTACTGCACGAGAGACATAAGGAGGGAGGGATGGAGCGACAGAGAGAGCTTAGTGAAAAACGGAAGATAGGCAAAAAAAAAAAAAAAGGATTAAAGAAAGAGACACTGCTGTTGGAAGATGTCATTAAATAGGAAGCTGCAAAAAAAGCTTCTGCTTGTTCAGGAAAGGCTTAAGAAAGCTGTGCTTCATTCCAGGTGATGAGAGTGGGTGAACCCTGCCAGTTTTAAAGAGTGTGACACACTGACGCAGACCTAGATATCAAACTGAAATATGCTGGCTGCCTATAACAACCGCCTTCCTCTCTCCCTTCCTTGGCCTCTGCCTCTCCTTCCTATAATCCCCCAGATTCCTCTGCATACTTTGCCTTTCCCCTCTTTGGGATGTACAAAGTCTCAGACTGATGACTCATGCATTGCTAACTGCTATATTTGTGTCCTAAACCCCCACTGGTTTCATTTTTTGCACAGTCAAACGGCTTTTAAGTGATTTCTGCAGCTTCACAAGACTCCAGTTGAAGGCTTCAAACTTGACCATTACTGATTGGATAATGTAAGATGTATGTGAGATATATACAGTGCAGTCTACATATTTAGACAGGGACACATTTTTGTCATTTGTCATTTTGTTACACTAACATATATTGATAGATTAAAATATGTGTGGTGTGTGAGAAATAAAGCGCCAATCTTCAGCTTTAAAATGAGACAATATACAGTAACATCTGAAAAGAATAAATAAAACATTCTTCTAATGTTTGAAAAGTAGGATTCATAAGAAATAAAACACACTCTTGGTTGATTCGGTATACTCAGTACTCAGTTCAGTGAATTTATGACTCTTCTATACTGTAGTTTTGCTACTGCAAATATCCCCTACAGTAAATATTATTTGTGGCCACAATGGATTCTATTCAGCAAATGTTATATGGTCTCAGTTTAATCTAATTGAGTGTTCACATTTCTGATGTCAATCAATGATTCCTGCCACCACACAGCATCTTCCCCGGTTATGCTCTCTTCTTCTGCTTCAGTTTGGTTTTCAGCAAGAGCCACAATTGCAACAGTGTTCACGCAGCATGGATGTGAATTGTCCAAACATTCTCCAAACACTTACAAACTGCAATGTACAATATATATTTGAAGAGAAACATACTTAAAATTTTTCATTTTTTAGGAATATTTATTGACCTAAAAAAAGCATTTGATACAATTAATCATGAAATATTAATTGAATATTAATTGATAAATTAGAAAGATATTGGATTAGGGGAATGGTTCTGAAATGGATTAGAAGTTATTTGACACATAGATGTCAATTTGTGAAGTTGGAATATCAGTCGAATGTTTTGGACATTGTATGTGGAGTCCCCCAAGGTTCAGTTCTGGGTCCTAAACTGTTTATATTATATATCAATGACATATGTAAAGTATCTGAATTATTGAAATTTATTTTATGTGCTGATGACACTACTATATGGGCATCTGGTGAGAATTTACAGCAACTTTTTG